TTACGCGTATTTGGAATAGGCTGAACGAAATATTTGTGGTTTCCAAAAAAAGGTATTGTGGCCGAAAGCGCAACAATTACTGGGAGAATTTTGATAAAATCAAAGAAACTCCACTTAATCGCCGACATGGCACAATTCGGAGTTTGTTGTTTGCAATAAACATTCCAAAATCGATCGTTTTTCGCATTTTCAAAGAGGGACGACTCTAAAATAATATCCTCAATAATGAAGCCACTACTAATGGACTGTAACGAAAGAACGAGACTTTTACAACTACGTACATATAGACGAAAAGTGGTTTTACTTATCGCCAGTTAAAAGGTCAAAATCACGCTGGACGAAGTAAAACCAGAAAGGCACTGTAAAAGTAAACGGTTCATAACTAAAATTATGTTTATGGTTGCAGTGGCCAGACCACGCTATGACAGTGCCAGAAAACAGTATTTCAACGGAACTTTCAAAAGAACCCACAAAAATAAACAGCAAGAATCGAGCAAGACGAACAATGATGACCAAAATCATCGAGTTTATTCACGCAGCAGAATGCAAAAAGATGATAACGTTTTACCAGCATTAGATCCAAATTCCCTAAAAGCGCATAAAGCCAAGACAATTTATGTCTTGGCTTTATGGCTCTATGTCAGCCACCGAATAGCCCTGATTTGAATGTTTTAGACCCTGGCTTCTCCAATGCTATTCAGTCTTTGCAGCACCAAACATCGCCAAAAGCTATGGACGAATTAATAGTATATAATATACAGGGTGTGTCAAATGTCTGGAATGTAGCCAATAACTTCGCCATTTGTGGTTTTAGAAAAAAATGTTTCAAATACAAGTTCTTTATTAACAGAGCCCGGACAGTTTAGGAAACGTGCGCCCCTCCACACTAAACGAATGCCTTCATAAGCGTACGCTTCGATTTAATTCATTGAATATTGAGACTGGAGTGGGAGGCGTTTTAGGATCACTTTCCTAAACTGTCCGGGCTCTGTTTATTAATCATGGCGCATTTTTTGGCAATACTTGCTTGTTTGCATTGTTTTTTGTTTCGTTGCTATGGCAACCAACATTGTTGTATTAAATGGGATGCATATATTTTGTTTGGAGAGTTATTTTAGGGAGAAGGCTCTGGAGGTGAATGTAGGAAAGACAAAGGTTATGAAGTTCTGTAAAGGGGGTAGAAGGAAGAGCGAAGACTGGAGGTGGGAAGGGAAGGAGATAGAGGAGGTGAGGGAGTACACATATTTGGGGTACAGATTTAGAGAGGACATCAAGTAAGGCGCGCATGTGAGGGCAATGGCAAAGAAGGCGAATAAGGTGATGGGGCAGGTCTGGGGGTGGGGAGAAAGATTATTTGGAAGGGATATGGAAAAAAGGAAGATGATATTCGAGTGCTTGATTAGAAGTGTTATGATGTACGGGGCGGAGCTTTGGGGGTGGAAAGAGCAAGGGCTGTTGGAAGGCGTACAGGCCAGGTATTGGAGATGGGTTTTGGGGTTGGCAAAAGAGACGCCGGAGTACATAGTCAGAGAAGAGGTGAAGGTTGATAAGTTAAGAGTGGAGGCGGGTAAAAGGACGGTACGTTTTGAGGAAAGGGTTGAAGGGAGGTCTCAATGTAAAATTTTGGGGGAGTGCTGGAAAGAGATTAAGGCAGGGAAAGGGGGTTACGGGCAACGAGGAAGGGAGGAATATTTCAGAAGGGTGGGGTACTCAGTGAAAGCGGTAGATCATAGAAGGAGGGAAGGGATTCAGATGTGGAAAAAGCTGGAGAGCAGGGATAGAGATGTACAGAGGCAAGAAAGAAGGGGGCAGATAAGGGAGAGCAGGTACAACCCTAAGTACGAGGAAATAATAACGGAGGGATTGCCGAAGTACCTGTCGGTGGAGGGGGATGAGGAGGGGAAGAGGATGGTGGCAAGATTCAGATGCGGCAATGAGGAGAGAGCGAATAGGTATTGGATGAGAGATGATGAGAGGGGTTGTAGGCTATGTGGGGGGGAGTGGGAGTCGTTGGAGCACCTACTGAGGGAGTGTGACGAGCTAAGAGAGGAGGTGATCGGCTGGAAGCAGGTGCTGGGGGAGAGGGCAGAGGGAAGAGAATGGATGAGGGAGGTGGTGGCGACAAGGNGAGAGGAGGTGATCGGCTGGAAGCAGGTGCTGGGGGAGGGGGCAGAGGGAAGAGAATGGATGAGGGAGGTGGTGGCGACAAGGCAGCGTAGGGAGATGCGGGAAGGAGATGGGGAGGGGTAGGATAGGAAATAAAATGTATTGTATTGTAATGTGATAAATGTAATTGTAGTATTGCTAAAAATTTAATTGTTTGTGGAATGTATTGCTGATTTGGTAGCAATAAACTTAATTAATTATTTTTTTTTGCATACTTTGATAGAGCATAAGTAACTCTATGCGATGAACATATCAAATCGTATGCATCCCATTTAAAATAACAATGTTGGTTGCCATAGCAACGAAACAAAGAACAATGTAAACAAGCAATTATCGTAAAAAAATGCGCCACAATTAATAAAGAATTTTTATTTGAAACATTTTTCTTTAAAACCAGAAATGGCGAAGTTATTGGCTATATTCCAGACATTTGACACACCCTGTGTATAATAATAAGTATTCTACAATGTTATCACTGAAAAATTCGTACAT